AGATGCAGAGAGAGGAGGGGAAAGGAACTTCGGCACCCACTTTTAATCTTGGCGTTTTTAATGCTTCTCCAAGGATTCAGCTACACAGCTGCAAATAAAACGTTTTAAATGTGTTGCGATGTGCAATATACAAATATGACACTAGATGGCGACAGTGAGCTACGCCAAATTTAATGTATTTTTCAAAACATTTTTTAAAAAATCATTTTCACGGGGTTTTGTATACAGGTACAGTGGCACCTCAGGTTACATACGCCTCAGGTTACAAACGCTTCAGGTTACAGACTCCGCTAACCCAGAAATCGTGCTTCAGGTTAAGAACTTTGCTTCAGGATGAGAACAGAAATCGGGCTCCGGCAGCGCGGCGGCAGCGGGAGGCCCCATTAGCTAAAGTGGTGCTTCAGGTTAAGAACAGTTTCAGGTTAAGTACGGACCTCCGGAACGAATTAAGTACTTAACCTGAGGTACCACTGTATGTGTGTAGATTCCACTCTAGTTCCTTGTACTGGTGCTATAACTAATTCTGCCCCTCGAGGCCTAAAATGGACATGACATGGGAAATGAATTACTGAATCTCTCCACCTTTTTATTTTTAAACTTCAAAGCAAATGCCGCAGTTTCCAACATTTAATGCTGCTATAGCCATAGTGCTGTGTGCGCGCACTTAAACCTTTCCCCTTCAAAATAATCTAAAACACTGCCTCCACCAAGTTGCTATTGGTTGGTTGTTGGCACCTGTCTGTCTTGGGAGACAATGCAAGCTAAATTTGACTGGAACCAGGCTAAAACCAGGCTGATGGGGCAGAAGCACTTCTCTCAGCAGGGGTCCCTTGGCTTAGGAGAGACACTATATGGGTGGGTATTCCAGCACTTTCAAAAGGCAGCCCTTCAAAGCCGTGGGTGGGAGAAGCATGTAAACCTTCTCTAGCTGGGACTTTAAAAGAATCTGAGGCTTTTTCTAATCCTTGCTTCTCTTGCAAGGCAGGCATTATCAAGTCCCCAAAAGTCACTTTTGGGCCTGAGGCCAGCAAACCTTGTCCTCACTTCTGCTCATTTGCTGCAATATTTCAGAGTTAGTTGTTCTGTGGGCAACCTGGTTATGACACCACATTCTTTGCATCTTACGTTCTGGTTGGAGGCATCAGATGTGGGCTTTTCAAAGCTGAGATTTGAAGAGTAGCTGGGAGTGGAACTTATCACTTCAAGCGACTGGCAGGACAGCTAGGACTTTGCACTTTCAGCTTGGCCTGTGGATTATATAACACACTGAAGAAACAGTTCGTTCCACGCATCATTTACAAAGGGTGCACTGAAGTCTTGGATTAAAAGAATAACTTGAAGAGTCTTTGCTTTCCATTTGGCCAGCATATGTGAAAAAGCTGGAACAGAAATGTAGTGCAAGGTGAGATATTAATTGCACCTTTACAAGCTCCACCTGTCAAAAAATGTGTTTGTGTCGCCTATAAGTCACAATGACCTCCAAGGCAGATGGAAGAATGGATAACTGAGCACTCCCACTTTTGCTGCATTTTAAAAGGGATTCATTCAGACTAGGAAGCAAAAAGAATGTACTGGTCAGTCTTGAGATGTTACTTTTCGTCCAGCTCCCTTCTCTTCTGTAGCAAATTCCCACACAAGCCCAAATTTTCCTAACCTAAATGTTGGATCCAATTATCCTTTGGGAAGTTAGGAAACTCTGCCACCTAGTGCCCAGTTTATGAGCGGCTCTGTCCTACTCCCTGAAAGTCTGACAAGATGGGGTGGCTACTCTGTAGTTCTCCAGATGTTGTTGGACTCTGCCTTTGGCTGCAGACAGCATGACAAATTGTCAGGGAAGATGGAAGCTGTAGTCCAGGAAGACCTGGAGGGTCACAAACTAGCCACCTTCTTAAGATTATTAGGCTTTACGCACACAAACTTTGTATTTATTGTTTGAACGTGTTCAGGACTGAGAAGGTGGGACACCATACAAACAGGCGTAGGCTAGCAAAAGATGTACGGTACTCTTATTTCTATGCTTTTCCGCTAATACATAGGGAGCCAACGGAGTGCCCTCTGGATTTTGCTGGACCACAACTCCCATCAACCTTGACTATGCTTGCTGGAGAGAGCTACCCTGGCACTAACAACACCCAGGCTGTTTGCGTGCAATATTAATCATCATTTTTTATTAATTATTATTATTATTATTATTATTATTAGAATTTATATACCACCTTATACCCGGAGGTCTCAGGGCAGTTTACAGAACAAAATCAAAAAATAAAACCACAAAATATATAATAAAAAAGAGCAACAACCCAATACCCCCCCCCAAAAAAACATTTTAAAAGGGCATAGGATGTCAATCAAATCAACCAAAGGCCTGGTTAAAAAGGAACACTTTTGCCTGCTGCCTAAAGGTGTATAATGAAGGCGCCAGGTAAACTTCCCTGGGGAGAGCATTCCACAGACGGGGAGCCACTGCAGCAAAGGCCTGTTCTCGTGTTGTACAAGTGTGTCATTCTTCTTTTTTCAGCAACACTGAAGATGGGAAACCGATGTACACTCACCCCCACCAGACTGCTTTCTCTAAGGTGCACCCCACCACTTCCCCTCCCACAATGCTTTGCACTCTCCTTACTGCACATGACCTCATTTGAGAGCAGAACCCTTTTTCTCTTATGCAGCCCTCTCTTCTTCACCGGCTGCTGACCACTAGAGCCTCCTGCCCCTCCTCGCCAGACCAAATGGACTGGGTCCTGCTGCAAGATGGGTTCCCCAGGGTCCAGTGCAAAAGCAGCCTGGAGAGCATTCAGACCAGAGCAGGGTGGTCCGTTTTAGAACAGCTACATATTTTGAGCTGGACACCCGCCATCCCTCCAGAACAAGAGCTTCTTGGCCTTCAAAGGGCAATAAAATCTGAGCAGCCAAGCACAAACCCACCAGCACTGTTCTTTCCTTCCCCCCTTTGCAATTCACAACACCAAGAACAAAAGAAGAAGAAAAAATAACATCTTTAATAGCTTAGTAACTGGCACAGATGGTACAGTATTCTGATCCACAACTGGTTTTATTTCTTAACACACATGAAAACACTGCACTGCGGAGCTCGGGGCGGGAGGGAAGAAGTTTGGGCTGCATTTAGCATTGCACCTACGTAGTGGGACACTAAGTGGGCTGGGTGTTTGTTCTTTGCAGTTACATTCAGTGTCTAGGGCGAGAAAAACCAAGTCCCACTGCTAGGAGCATAGGAAACTGGCTTATATTAGGTGACACCACTGGTTCAGCTAGCCCACTGGAGCCAAGATTGGCAGCAGCTTCCAAGGGTCTCAGGTATGCTATCCATCCATAACTTGCTTTTGCTTTAAGTGGAAACGCCAAGGCTTTAACCTGGCACCTTCTGCATGCCACGCATGTGTCCTAGCACTGAACTATGGTACCTGAGCCAAAGACACACCGCTGGAGTAACCCAAAGACACACCAAACTCCCAAGCTATTAGGGAAAAGAGGACCGGGGGGAGGGTAATATTTCTACTGGGGACTAAAGTCATTTGTAGCAGCAGACTGGGCCTTGAAGTAGATTGTCAACATGTGAGTTACAAAACAAGATTTCACTGTAAACATTTTCACCGATTGGGGATGCTGCAGAGGAGAGATGAATACTTAGATGAGGTCTTAGAGAAGCAAGAGTGATGGCTGCTTTAAATGAACCTTAAGATATGTACAGTGGGGAAACAACTTGTTACTTTCTGCCACCTGGGACCCAGTATCTGGGATAAGGATGCTTTGCATTAAAATTTGGGAGTTCACCATTTGCCCAGGGTAACCGTTTCTTCACACATGTGCTACTTGCAGGCTCGCTGCTCAAGCTGCCCTGCCACACCCACACCCACCCACGCCCAGGCGAGTGTGTGAATGTCTGCCTGGAGTTAAGGTTTAGTTTGGCCTTCTGTCCGAGACTGCTCTACTCTGCAGTATTGCCTTTCCTCCAGGGCAGGTGGGGTTTAGGGAGTGTGGGAAGGGGGGGACGGGCATTTCAAGGAACTTTCCAGGCACGACAGCCTCTCGGTCTCCCACGTGAGGTAGGTCAGCCCCGTTTTTCTCATATAGGGGACACAGGCACAGTATGGTTAAGTGACTTGGCCAAGATCACACAGCAAGTCAGCAGCAGAGTCAGGGAATTTCCCGGCTTTGGCTAGCAGAACATACTGCTTTTACCTAGCAGAACTACTCCAACCATCAATTTTCCAGAGGAGAGGGGGGAAAGGGACATTTTATAATGTGAGAGAGAAAGCGATATGCAGTCGACTATCAAAACTCGTAGCAGCAGTCTTCGGAATACAACCTAAAAAAAGGTTGAATACAACCTAAAAAAAGAGAAATCTTCCCAACCTGTGGCTCAAAAGCTGCCAGTAGCTTAAGCTTGCAAGTGCACCTTGACTCATCTCTTTCCACAGTGTAGCAAGCAGCAAACTGCCCCTGCTGAACAGGTGCTTTTTAGTGTCATTAAAGGGTCTAAGACCTCGACCTCTGATAGGAAGCTTGGTGGTACACGACACAGCAGTTTACCCATAAAGCATTTCAGTGGGATGGTGGAAGGGGGCTTAGTCAATGGAGCATGGCCATGGCACCCCCGCAAAGAGGGGTTTCCACCTCAGGGAAACCAAGTTTCCAATTAGAAATGTGTAATGTTCACGGCTGGAAATGTTTCCTGCCCAGACCTAGTAGGGCTTAAGTCAGCTGGTTATCCAGAGCAGCTATCTAAAGTCACTTCAGCTAAGGTACCAAAAGTCACTTGTCAATCACTGGTGCTCCATTTGCTGGTTTTTTTATAGAAAAATTCAATCTCTATGGATATACAATATTAAAATTACATGTGACAAAGTGCCTGCGACGCCCTCTGATTACCTGATGGTGTCCCACAGCTGTCAGCCCAAAGGGAAAGTCAAGTGCATAGTAAGGTCTATCAGAAAGGATTCCCCTCCCTCCACGGAAGGAATCGCTAGGGCCTTCTCCTGTTAGTGCTCTTTCACTGTCAAATTCTCCAGCTGGCCTTTAATCTCCCTCGGGGCTTTGTCGCTGGAAGGTTTGTTGGGGTAGTCTCGCTCTCCAAAGATGGTGCTTCCGATCCGAACATTTGTCGATCCAACTTCAATCTGCAAAGCAGCAAAAAGAATCACGAGAAAAATCACGGGTGCTTTGGAAGTTGGAACTTTGATCTGAAAGGCCTTGGCTGTCCCATTTGTAAATTTGTAAACAAACAAATAAACCCCTGTGTTGCAAAATATGAGTAAGCAATATCAAAAGCAACACGATGGCCAGGAACAATTACAATGTGAAAAACTTTATGATAATTCAAAACATCAAAACTAAGAAACTGAAGTCTCTGAAAGTCCTTAAATGAATCACGGTGCCAGACTTTACCCGGTGGAGAGTAAGCTGTGAAGCTTTGTATAATCAGCAAATGTCCAATTCGGACGTCCAACGCTGAACTCTGCTGAACAGTGTTTCCGGATAACAACTACTGTTTTGTTGAATTCTTCATCAGCCAATTAGTTCAACACTCATAAGTAGAAAGATATGTAGTTTCTTCATTAACCAATCTTTTTTCAAATAGATATAATATACATGAGAATGAAAAATACTCTGGAACAGTGCTCATGAGATTATGTAGTCCCTGTTCCAGAGTATTTTTCATTCTCATGTATATGTATATATAGACCCAAGAGACCGATTTATAAAACCCGTTTGTGAATGGAACACACCTGAATAGGGTGGAAAGGGTGAAATGGCTGCTGAGCGGCACCGACGACTTTGTTACTTATAAAGTAGCACTCAATGCTCTGGCAGCTAAGAAGATCAGGAGGAAGGAACTAGACAAAATAGCGGTCAACTGCAAAGGAGATTTGGATATATAATTTGGCACATCTTACCTGAGAATCTTCTGCTATTCTATTCTATTTAATGCAACAAATAGTTTTAGTAGCTGTGACCGTGATTTTATTGTATGCCTGATGATTTGTATGGTTATTGTTCTTTTTTTCTTGTTTTTTTCTTTTTGTTCTCCTTCTGAATGATGCCATGGCCTATGGCTGGTGCAACAAAAAATTTAATTGGAATTGGACATAATGGGTGGATGGCAGGATATTGGCTCCTTTTGGAGCTGGATGCAGCATGGGGAGAAATAACACATGAAGATACTCTGTGGGGTCCTAAAGAGCTGCTGTTTTCCCCCTCCCTTTAGTGCCTTTTTCCTGCTTCTGTTTCCCTTTCTAGTCCCTGGAATCTCTGTAGTGGATCCAGGGTGGATTTGTTTTGATTTAAATCACTAGTCAGTAAGACTTGATTTAAATCTTTTTTCTTTTTTACAAAAAGACTCATTATTGCTGGTGTAATCTTACTATTTACAACAAATTCACACTTTTGAAAACTGCAAAAACAAGCATCTGTGATAATACAGTAGGTACAATCCAATAGTTTTGCTAAGAAGGAACAGACCTTGCCATCTAAAAAGAAGGGAGAAATGATGTAAATAAATGAGGAGGAAGGACACAAGGCGAAGATGAGGAAAGGAGGAGATGTCAAAGGCTTGGAAGAAGAGGTAAGAGTTCAAGCCAACTGCAAGGAGGGAGAAGTGGGAAAAATTGGGAGGCAGAGCATCCCAGAGAAAGGGAAAGTGGGAAAGAAAAGGCTGTGTGCACACCATACATTGAAAGCACCCGGTCGCCCCAAAGGATCCTGGGAACTGTAGTTTGTTATGGGTGTTGGGAATGGGGGCTCTGCTATGAGGTAAACTACAGTTTCCAGGATTCTTGATGGCAAGGTTAGGTGCTGAATGTATATTAAATGTATGGTGTGTAAACACTCAAAGACTCGGAAGTGTGAAATAGGTGAAGCTTAGCCAGGACAGAAGTAAAAGCACAGTGGAGATCATGAGAGCAGATAAAGAGAACAAAATGAAGAGAGAAGAACCTTTCATTGGATGAAGGGATTTAAATACAAGAAGTAGAAGCTTCTGCTGGGTCTGGTAAGAAAACAGAAGCCAGGCAAGGGAGAGCAATGGAAGAGAAATGAAGGCAAAGAGAGACACGTGCAGCAGACTTATCAGTGCAACCCTGACCAGGTCTACTCAGACGTTACGTCCTATTGAATTTAATGGGGCTCAGTTCCAAGCCCATGGGTTTATGATGCTGCCTATGAGAAGCAGGGAAGCTGTCCACCTGGGAAAACCAAGATTTACTCAAATGTTCCAGCATGAGCTTGGTTGCTCACTCAGAGGGCCAGACACTCTGCTAGGAGGGAGGGAGAGAGGAAGAAGTGAAAGGAGAAAGGCCCCATGATTAGCAACTGCAGAAAAAAAGAAAATAAAAGGCAACAGACTGACTTACTGCATGCTGGAAGTCTGTAGACATCCCCATGCTCAGCTCAACTTTTTCAATGGGGAGATTGAGCTGGTCGCACAACTCCTCGCGCAAGGATATCAACATCTGCAGGGGAGGGAAGACAATGCAATTGAACCTGGCCCTCTCCCTCCTTAAAAGACAAGCTTTGCATATGAGTATTTCCCCCCAGATCAGGAATACCTGGAAGTCAGGGTTGGGCCCCTTACTGAGGTCGTGCCCAAAGCTGCCAATTGTCATTAAGCCCACAAATTCCAGGCTGGGACACTTCTGGAGGATGTGTGCCACTGTTGTTACCGTTTCTCCAGGCGGCAGCCCATGTTTACCTTTAAAAAGAAAAGCTTATTTGTTAATCATAGCATTTTAAGAGTTGGGAGGGACCACGAGAGTCATCTAGTCCAACCCTCTGCAATGCAGGAATGTTCTGCACAATATGGGGCTTGAACCCACAACCCCGAGATTAAGAGTCTCATGCTCTACCAACTGAGCTATCCTGCCTTGTTATACATTGCATTTTTATTGCAACCTCTGGGGGAGGACCACAGCTCAGTGGCGGTGCATCTGCTTTGCATGCAGAAGGTCCCTGGTTCAGCCCCTGGCATCTTCAAGCAGGGCTGGGAATATCCTCTGTCTGTAATCCTAGAAAGCCACTGCCAGTCATTGAGGGCGATACTGCGCTAGATGCACCAAGGGTGTGAATCAATACAAGGTTCCTCCAAAGTTCAGTCCAACCCTCTGTTCCTCCAAGGATCTCAGGTGATGTATATATAGTTCTTCCTCCCTGCCCCTTCTATCCTTCCAGCCACCCTATGAGGTAGGTTAGGCTCAGAAAATCCAATTGGCTTGTTGGTCATTCAAGCAGCTTCATGGTGAATTTGCACCTGTGTCTCCTCTGTTTTAAGGGATGCGGGTGGCGCTGTGGGTTAAACCATAGAGGCTAGGACTTGCCGATCAGAAGGTTGGCAGTTCAAATCCCCGTGACGGGGTGAGCTCCCGTTGCTCGGTCCCTGCTCCTGCCAACCTAGCAGTTCGAAAGCACATCAAAGCGCAAGTAGATAAATAGGTACCGCTCCGGCGGGAAGGTAAACAGTGTTTCTGTGCGCTGCTCTGGTTCGCCAGAAGCGGTTTAGTCATGCTGGCCACATGACCCGGAAGCTGTACGCCGGCTCCCACGGCCAATAAAGCGAGATGAGCGCCGCAACCCCAGAGTCGGCCACGACTGGACCTAATGATCAGGGGTCCCTTTACCTTTACTCCTCTGTTTTAGTCCAACTCTACACAGTCATACCTCATGTTACGTTTGCTTCAAGTTACGTTTTTTCAGGTTGCGTCCCGCGATGACCCGGAAGTACCGGAAAGGGTTACTTCCGGGGTTTGCTGCTTTTGCATGCGCAGAAGCGCTAAATCACGCCGTGCACCTGCGCAGATACGGTGCTTCAGGTTGCATGCTTTTCATGTTGTGAACGGGCCAATGGAACGGATCCCATTCGCAACCAGAGGTACCACTGTAAACACTGTACCTTGCTGCCTCCCAGTGGTGAAGGCAGCCTTGCTAGGAAGAATCTAGACCATATCCTGCCTGATCAGGAATCTCAACTGCTCCGAAAGCCAAGTGCATTCAGCTGCCTGTGAGAAGGATTCCTTTTCCGGATGTCCTGCAAGGCACACAGAAGCCTCAAAGAGCCCAACATCACCCTTCCACGCATTCACATGTCATACTTGTGTGCGCATGAAGGAGGATCATACAAAGAGAGTGCTGCTCTTTAAAAGAAGGCTGAAATGCAAGCCTGAACCCTTGGCATGTGAGAGGGGAGAACAACATCAAATCTACTTACTATCTTCCCCACTGGTGTTCACTTGCACCATGATCTTTAGCTTCTCCAAAGACCCCTTCTTCTGCCAAGACCCGTTCACTCTGTCCGCCAGTTTTAGGGAATCCACCGTTTCCAGCATAAATAGGTTAGGTACCGCTAGACGACATTTAAAGAAGAATCTGAGCAAATATCCATTGCAGAAAGCATACCAGTTTCATTCAATTTCAGAGTGCACAGTATGAGCTGTACTGCCAAGTTAGGGACCCTCGCATAAACTGTACGTTCTCTACCTGAGTAGCACAATGCTCCCTGCACCGTAAGGCTATATCAGGCAGTACCCCAACACTAGTGAAGGGAGACAGCTGGACCTGCTTTTGGATGACTGGTTGAACAACAAGGCCTTTTGCTCCTTTCCGGTTTCTAGATTATTAATCACCTCTTAACTAATGTTTTCAAAATGTATAATGCAAAACAACATCTTAGAACGGGGAAGAGAGAACAGAAACCGTCTTGTCCTAAACCAAGCAGGAGAAAAGGTCCCTTTGCCCACGGCACATACAAAAAGCAAAAAAATAGCAAAAATAGAAGCTGTTCTCTCAGTCACCTTCTGCCTGATCTTATGAATTAACTAAATAAGTTTATCAATTGAAGGACCAGACATACGAGACACCACTGAAAATTACCACACTGCATTCAGATCCATTAACAGAGCTGTGCAAAATTACAACTCAGGAGGATGCAACTACAGCTGATCTACTGAAAACTAAGCTAAATCTTATGAAATGGCCACGACTGTGAAACTTAAAAATAAAATAAAAAATAGCGTGCCACATAGTCCAAGTTCATGTTTGCTAACAGCAGCAGCCCCTAGGACCTGGGAAAAATAAATCCTTCCAAGCCCCAATTTCAATTTTTGGAGAAATCACTGGTTCTATGTCCTGCACTGTGCAAATTAACTGCATCTCAAAATCAGGATCTCCTTAAGTCAGAGCTGGTAACAGTAGTGCATTCACTGAAGTGAGCACATTACAACTCCCCCCCCCCCCAATGTACACAAAGGATTTCTTGTTGTCTCCCTGCCCCCCACCCCATAAGTGAGCACAAAAAGAAATTATTATTACCAATGAGTTTGTTGACATTGTTTTTCTGTAGGTGGCCTATGAAATGCCATTTAATCTCTGGACACGAAGAAAGAATCTGAGAACAGAGGCAAGTGAGTAGAATTTGAAATTCATTTTCATGCTAGGCATCCATAGAACACTTGCAAGTGAAGGATGATTTCACTTTTATTTATTTATAACTCAATTTTCAAGGCAAAAAGCCGTCATAAAGTGGCTCATAATAAAGACAAAGGATGGTCCCTGTGTAAGAAGAGAGGGGCAAATCTCATCCAAGGTCCCTCAAATGTTAAAATTATTTTGATGGCAGTTAACACACTTAGTAGCAGTTTGCTGTCAGTGTAAATAACCTCTGCTGGGACAAATTCAGCATATAGGCTGCCATCTGTGCTCGAAAATTATTTCAAATGACTGGGGCTCTGCAACAAAAAGAAGCATCTTGGCCAAGATTATCTGCTATTTATACATAAAGAACTGAACAGCTACTGAAAGGCAAACAGAGAGATTCTTCTCTGAACATGAGCTTACTAGTCAATTTTCTGAAACAAGCCTCTGCCAACTTGACAGAATGAGGATTATCTAGCACACAAAATGAACTTACTTTGGAGTCTGATGCCTTTTCTAGAAGTTCTTGGACCTGTAGAAAGTTAAGACATGGATTAAATTTTGCCAGGCTTGCTCTGCCTTACCTCTAACTCAACCACCTTGACTTACAAGTGCCTCTGTTCACATGCAATGCTAAACGCCATGGTTTAGTGCAGAGGTGGGGAACTGACGGCTGTCCACATACTGTTGGACTCCATTAGTCCTAGTCAACATGGCCACTAGTCCAGGAAAATTGGATTTGTAGTCCAACAACATCTGGACAGCCACAGCTTCTCCAACCTTGGTTTAATGCAGAATGGACTAAGCACAACATTCCTCCCCCATCCTCCTCCCATGTGACCAGGAGGAAGACTTCTGCCACACTTAGTTTCACAGTAAAAGAATGACGACTCAGTGGTGCATTCAAACAAGGGGTCCTGGTTTAAAACAATGTCAGTTTCATAATCAAAGGCTGGAAGCTGATTTGCTATAAAACTCAGCAGAGTTAATCTTAAAGGAGGATTCCCAGTTCAAACATTAACGCTAAGCCAAGTTTTTGGTTTTTTTAAGTAAAACTAATCTTAGCAGAAGTCCCTCGAAGCTGCAAAGGAGATAGAGAGGAGGAGGAAGAGATGGGGAAGTCAGCCATACAATGTCAAACCATGGGTGACATTACAAGCAAATGTGCAAAGCATTAAGACAGTGAGTTCCAATTACGCCTCAACAGAAGGCAAAAGGGTTAATGAGCAGCGTTTTACAAGAGAGGCAATATCCATTTGTAAAACTGCTAATAGACACTATTCTTGAGTACAAAGTCATGCGTCAGATTGCCAACTGCTCCCACAGTTATTCTGTCCAAGAAACTGCTTCAAACCACATTGGTGCACCTGTATCCAACATTAGTGCAATTATTTCCCCATGTTCACTCATTTGGACTACGCAACTCAAATTAACCAGCCGTAATATAACATTACTGCTGCACAGTGATGAGCAAACTGATATCTGCATGTCTAGCTTACATTTTAGAGACCTCCAGAAGCCATTTCGAAATAAATGAGAATGTGGGAATGTGGCCTGATCCAGACTTATCTCTGCTATTGTCACAACCTTTCAGGCCTGCCTTCATGACATCAGTTTGCACCTTGCTGGTATACATCATGGAAGAGGCTGCCAACAGCCGTGAAAAGGGTGACTTCCAAGCTCACTGGCAAAGGGATTGACAATCAAACCTCCAATATCACATTGCCTTTTTACAAATGATGCGACCACACTTGGAATACAATTGCCAAATCCCTGTAGGTCCTGCTGCCTGAGGCAGTTGCCTCACCTTGCCTCATGGGTGAGCCGGGCTAGTCTTCCTCCTCCACAGACACGAAGTGTCCCTTATTTTTTAAAGTTTCAGTTTAGCAAATTTAGGATCATATGAAGAGTCTGATGGATCAGACCACTTAGCCCAGCACCCTGCTCTCAAAGCGGCCAACCTGAGGCCTATGAGAAGCCTGAAAGCACAACCTGAGCGCAGCAGCAGCCTTCTCTCCATTTGCAAATCTTTTAAAGCCACTTAAGTTCTGTCTCTGTAACGTTTACTCCCCAGCTATGCCACACTTCTCCAGGGTGATGCGGGACTAATGAAATATGAGCTCCTTTTGTGACCATCTGGTTTGTGAGCATGTCAGCAGCTCCAGGCCTTATTTCCTTCTGGTCCTGAAACCCAAACAATGCGGAAACGGAGAGGACACTCACATAGTTTTCTCCAAAGCTGCGCTGCCCATGGTTGTAGGCCTCAATCACCATTTCCGCTGGCTTCGTTTTACTGACAGCTACAAGGCGAGGCTGTATAGCAGGCAATCCCTGTATTTGCAAAGAAAGAAATGGTCAGTGGCCAAGTGCACGTGGGGATGCTCACAACTCTGTGACTGGAACATGGGAAATATTTATCGCAGGCCAACAGGCACCGATAAGAGATTTCATATTATCTCACGTCCACCTTGAACTTTGTTTTTTAATGGAGACAAGTTCACATGTTCTGTTTTGAGTTAACGTGGAAAAAACACAAAGGTTCCTAAAGACTAACAGACGCGTTGTAGCATAATCTTCCATGGATTAATAGTTCACTTCATTGAATACTGAAGTGAGAGGGAGGAAAAATGTTTTAAAACAAGGCTAAATGAGTATGAAATGCAATAGGTATTGACTATGACAACGCGACACAAAGCTTAAGACAAGCCAAATGACCATCCACAACAGCAGCAACCGGTAACAACACATCCATTTGTGAATCTGCCCTAAGCTGGGCTTCCGACCTCAATTATTTTATTTATAATAAATTCCATTAGAGTAACTTCGAATGCAATCCCATAGCTGCTGCCCTGGGAGTAGGACCCGCTGAACTTAACAGCATTTACTTTTCATGGTTCTTAAGGCACGTTGGTTCTGATTCAAAGAGATCCCGAGTCTTGCTTTGTGAACATACAGCAGCCCCATCCACACTTACTTGGAAGAAAGTCCAACTGTATTCAGTGGTGCTTAATCCCTACTTAATTGCTTATAGGAATTTCTGGGATGAGGGCAGATACAGAACAGGACAGGGCTCCTGTATAAGAGTGAATTTCAGCAGGTATAGCTTGCTGTGTATCAAGTCCCTCTTCTGCACATCTACTGAAAGGTACAGGAGTCCCGTCCTCTCCTCTGCATCCCGCCACTTTAGCAGGACTGCATAGGGGACACAGCAGCTCAATGGCAGGGCATCTTTTTCACCTGCAAAGCCCCTGGGCTCATTCCCCAGCATCTCCAGGAGGGGCAAGGAATGTGGAGTGCTGCTGCCAGTCAATCAATTCCATTCAATTCACTGTCTATGGTCAAAGGCCTTCACAAGGAACAACAGAGGGCAAAAAGCAAGACATTTCTTCTATGAGCCTGCAGCGTGATTCTATGATTTACAGCATAAAATTGCTACACGTTAACGTAACACTGCCAGAGCAGATTTGGCTACCAGAGGTGTCATTTGCAAGTGTTTTTGCTTAAGAGTTCAACCATTACTTCCAAGGGGGATCAATCTGACACCTGATGGAGAACATAATTGTTGTAGTAATTCTACTGTCTCAAATATAGAATAAATTTTGATAATTGCACAAGGTAAACATACATACATAGGTATATAAACCACATGTCTAAAATAGTACAGGAGAGCAATCCAAAAGTCATCTTGGCTCTCCTAAATATTTCCTCTGCCTCCTTAATCCTCCTTGCTTGAGAACTCAGATAGCAATCAGGGGAAGTTCCTGAAGGGATTCCTCTCGTATATCTATGAACCTCCTTTGAATTAATTGTCATTGTTTGCCCAGATGCTCTGCATTGAGGGATGTCTGACAGGCATCCTGATGGTCTTATCAAATGCTAATGTTTTGTGTAAACTGTGTCTGGAACTATGCGAAACTTGCTAAATCCTCAGGAATATCACACCTTGGCCTGCCTGAGCCACAGTAACCCCACCTTAGGTGGGATGTAATTTCTGACTGTTTGTAGAAGGGACTGTCCTTCTTCTCCACGCCAAAACGCATCCCCTTAAAAGAGATATTTCTTCTTGGTTCTGGGTCTCTCTTCCCTCCTTGCTAGGAGGAGAGGGAACTCTGTTGCAACAGAAAAATATGAAGCGAACCACCCCTGTTTTTCTAGATCACAATCAACATTCATCGTGCATGATATCCACGACCTCCCTGCATGCCTTCCCGTTCCCTGTGTGCTACCCTCAGACGTCCCCCCTCTATGTGTGCCGAGGGCCTTTGCTGAAAAGGCCCTGCGCAAGGGGGGGGGGCTGCTGCTGCCAGTCAGTGCAGGAAACACTAGGTTAGGTGGACCCAAATTCTGATTTGGTATAAGGCAGCTGGCTATGCTCCTAAAAAATGGGGGGGCAAACCCGGTAATAAGTTATTCACGTTAAAAGATACACAGGCTATTAATAACAGCAGCAGCGAGCAGCGATCCGCAGGCCAAGCCAGGTCTCTCCCACCTGCCGCCTCCCGAGCAGGAACCGCCAGGCCGGCCGCTGCCGCCGCCCCGCTCCCCGCCCTCCCGCCTCGCACCTTGGGCCTGCTGGCCGCCGCCTGCTGCACCCGCTCCTGGACTGCCCTGAGCGCCGGTCCCAGGCCTTCCCCGGCAGCCATCCCCGCTCTCCACATTCCCCAGCCGCGCCGCGGATCTTGGGCCGGGCTTCCGCCACACACGCAGCCGTCCGCAGGCAGCCAATCGCCACTCCAAGCCTTGCTCGGTTGGCCAATGAGGGTCGGAGGTGGGGCCCGGAGGAGGCGGGCTCAGGCCTGCGGGCTGGGCTCGGCCCTCGGCCATTTTGGAGAGGTCGGGGACCCGCAGCTCAGGGCGGCCGAGGGAAAAGTCGCTGCGGGGGAAGGGAAGCGGAGGGGATTCTTTTCTCCCAGAGCGCATGCGCGGGAGGCGCCGCTGGCGCAGTGATCGCAGCAGCGAATGCTTCCCAAGAGGAAGGGGTGTTTTTCGAGCAGGAATTCCAGAGGCGTCATGGATCAGCCCAGAAGAGAACTCCAAAGGAAGGAATCTTTGGGATTCGTTACCTGCAGCGCCGTGCACGCACTGGCAGCTGTTTCTGAACCCCCTCACAGGGCTGTTGTGAAGATCTGCATCGCACCAGCTAGTAGGAATACCACTGTCCAGGGATGAAACCCTCCCACCAGGATACTCCATTCCATCCCCTCTTCATTCTTCTTCTCATGAAACCCCACCAGGATACTCCATTCCATCCCCTCTCCATTATTCTTTTCATGAATCCTCACCAGGATACTCCATTCCATCCCCTCTCCATTATTCTTTTCATGAATCCTCACCAGGATACTCCATTCCATCCCCTCTCCATTATTCTTTTCATGAATCCTCACCAGGATACTCCATTCCATCCCCTCTCCATTATTCTTTTCATGAAACCTCACCAGGATACTCCATTCCAACACCCTCTCCATTTCCCCTCAGTTGGCACTCCTCGTTCCATTGCTAATGAGCTGGCTCCAACCTCAAGGGGTTGTCTTTGGGTGTGTGTGTGTGTGTGTGTGTGTGTGTGTCAGTGGCAGATTTATAGGTATGCACAATATGCAGAGATTTAGGGTCCTATGTGGCCCAAAGGAGGACCCGGTCCAAGAAGAAGATACAAGTGATCCCAGTTAATACTACCTCCTAGTAATTGTAATATACGATTACGAGAACCTTCTAACTTTTGAAAAGTCAGAGAGAGATTGCCCTCTATAGAAACCTATACAGGCTCATGGCTGGTCTTGGACAGCAGGACTGGTAAGAAGAAGACCAGCAGCCAATTGGAAACCGCAGAAGCCACACCGGATGTTCGGCTTCTGAAAATCATTTGAAAACCGGAACACTCACTTCTGGTTTTCGATCGTTCAGGAGCTGAAACGTACGCGTTCCAAGGCATTTGGCAACCAAGGTACGACTGTACGACTCTCAGATAAACACTGACAATTGGGAAACACTGGCCTGCGAGTGTTCCAGTTGGAGAACAGCCTTTACCAAAGGTGTCATGGACTTTGAAGACGCTCAAGCTCAGGAAGAAAGGGGGAAGGCGATTGGAAGAAGCAAAGATCACCAATGTCAAAACAATGATTCTTCAACATCAACTTTGTTGGACTGGTGATGTTGCGTGGATGCCAGATTATCATCTTCCAAAGCAACTACTCTATTCCAAACTTAGAAATGGAAAGCCTAATGTTGGTGGTCAACAAAAGAGGTTTAAAGATTCTCTCAAGGCAAATCTAAAAAAAAATGTAGTATAAACACCAACAATTGGGAAACACTGGCCTGTGAGAGCTCCAATTAGAGAACAGCCTTTACCAAATGTGTCATGGACTTTGAAGGCGCTCGAACTCAGGACAAAAGGGAGAAACGTGCTAAGAGGAAGGCACGCTTGGCAAACCCTCACTGTGATCGACTCCTGCCCGGAAACCAATGTCCCCACTGTGGAAGGACGTGTGGATCCAGAATTGGCCTCCACAATCACTTACGGACTTAATGTTAAGACCGTGTTCATGGAAGATATGGGGGGAAATGCCTAGCTCCTAAGTTATGCAAATATTTCGATATCCCTTATATAAATAATTCAAACCTCAGCAGAATGCGCACTGATCCCCCTCCACACACAACGGATCTGCCCATTCCATTGACACTGATCTTAAAAGTGAAGAACATTTTATTCATTACAATATTGAAATTTACAGGCTGGTTTTAATCTGATACACAATTGCTGTTGAAAACATTCCAAGAGAGTCAGAAAAGACAGCAGCATATTTGAACGGATGATGGCCAAGACAGTGATATTCACCATTTCACCCTCATTAAGAAAATCTGTTTTAAGAATTCACATCCTCTTTGCAAAGCTTGCACACAGGAAAAAGGAGGAAAATATATTCAGTGTTACTTTGTTCAATGCACATACAAAAAGGAATTATAAAAAAGTTATTTCCTAAGAGCCCAAAGAGCATTTCAGAAAAGGCATCTATCTCATTTTAACGAAGCAGCGATCACACTTAAAACAACAACAAAAATTGTTAAATTGCATTTCCAGTACCTAACAGGTTGGAAAGAATTTAATTGTTTTATCAGGAGAAATCTACACCTTAATTCTTTATTCACATTAATATTTGCTGCTCTTTATTGAATAGTGGTTTTAAGTTTTCTTTAGAGAACTTCTCTCTATATATAAAAAGAATCAAAAGACTTAGTTATTCTAATCAATCTTTTTACATCAGAGTCATATAAAAGAAGTCATATAATACACTTTGGCTTTGCTGGAATTTAGTTTTTGCTGGTTAAAAAAAGCTTGTGTAAGAAAATATCCCCCACCCTTTCAGCAGGACCAAAAATAAAAAAAAACCGGAACTGCATCCCACAAGTCTAATATAAACATTTTCCCACTTAATTTTTACATTCTTTTACATGCATAATACTATCTGCAAAGTGTGATAGTATGAAAGCCAGGGGGGAAATTGTGTCTTTTTCTATTCCAGCATCTGACACAATACTAGACAGGAATTTTACTGCAAGGATGATGTGAAAAGAGCTACATACACACTTCAGTGTCTACCTATTCCACTTTAGCGCTTTTGAAACCATCCTTTAGTAACTTCCTGATGAAACTGACATGTAACATCAGGTAGATTCTAGCATATTCACATCATAGACAAATAGCCACTCAAGTTCAGCAATAAAGTAACCAATCCAAAAGCAAGACTGGAGCAGATGTTTAAGCTTAACTCATTCTGGATTTTGGATGCTCACTTAGTACTCTGATGCAAAAGGAAAATAGATAGGTTTGACATTATCAACTCAGGTGTGTGCCACAAAAACAATTCCTAGCTTCAGCTCGGAGGCTAGATGATGCATTTTGCCTGGCTGGTGGATCATGCTGGGGTGCAGGGAGAAAAAAGAGAAGGCAGCAAAGCAAATCATTAGACAGAAATAGGTTTATTTATTAGCAAAGGTCCCCCTTTCTTCTCTCTCGTACCTTCTACCAAATTTCATTGTGAAAGTTTTGTCTTCCGCCATCCATGTTTAATATTTAAAAAACACGGATGAATCACAGATACATTAACAACACACACACCCCTATATCAAGGTTGCTTCACGTATTAAGAAGTTAATCAGTACCTCCTGATGCTCAGGTTAAGGGTGAGAAAGAAACGTGCTTTGAGGGAAAGGGAATCAAGACATACATTGCAAGTTCCTATGACAATCAGACTCAACTTCCTGTTTCTCATGTTACAAGAGGCATGGACGGACAAATACCAAGTTATTTATTAAGGTGTCCAGTGGTTGGTAAAATCACCTTATGGACATTAAAAGACGCTACAATTTTCAAATCACTGCTGTAATTTTCAGTGATTCCAACAGAATAGCCCTCCTGCCCCAAGCTAGCAGCATGAACTCAAGATAATGTAGTTTTCAATCCCCAATGCTGTGCCTTAGTATGTAGTCCTCTAATGGACACGTGGGGCTTGCTAAACAGAACACCACAATCTTTCAAGAATTTGCTTAAGAAATACTTGCATATCACATAGGTCAGCTTCTCCCTTAGCGCCTGCAATGCTTAGCACAAACCCACTAAAGTTCAAAACAGGGCTGGGTAACGATGGCCAAAGTTTCACAGACGTGGTCAATGTTTGCCTGGAATGTACCACTTGAGACTGCAGGTGAGGGATCACATGCTTGCTCCTCCATTAAAATTTAAACCTGCACTTAGAAGAATAGCATGTCAAGGAAAAGAATGTCAACCTCACATCCCCCTAGACATGCTAGGTGGGCACGGAAGGATTTGTTTTACCACAGGACAGAGTACAGTACAGCTTTTTCTGTTTTCAAAGTTAGGTGTTGAATATACATCACCATCAGAAAGGTTTGTAATGTTACACTAAAAGAGGTTCCCAAGGACTGTACCTTTCATCTTGAGTGGACCACACACACACCTTGGGAGCATCAATAATCTGGATCTCCTTTCACTCCAAGAGGAACTGGGGGGGAGCTCTATTTTGCACGTGGAAGATGCATACAAGAAAGCAGTGGGGTGAGGGAAGCCAAGGAGACCTGTGGTTTGTAATGTGGGAACCATCAGAAAGAAATCTAAGGCACATCTGGCTAAATGTCTGGGACTCTCTAAGCCCATTTGGGGACTGCAGACTCACAACTTATTGTTCCCATTTTACAAAAATGCAGTTTCGGGATGCTGTCCTACTTGCATATTGAAAGGACAAGTTAAGAAAGCAAAAGGAAGAAGTAGCCTGTGGTTGCTGTTCACTTCTAAAGTCATCTTGCAAGAGCACAGCACACCACAGTATAGTCTATCAGACTGTCCAAACCACCCTTTTAGACAGACCTATGGCAAGCATCCCATTAAGCCAGAAACTGTGACAACCAGACTAATTTAAAAAGTGCATTCACATCAGCCCTACTCCCAGAAATCTGTAACACCTCATTCAAAAATTATTCCAGGGCATTTGCAGAATCAGAACTAGAGAGATAGCAAGAAGCAAAGCAGAAAGCTTTTGTGGTTGTCCCTTGCTATGCATAACAAAACAAGTTTTGAAGCAGAAGCTGGATAATTGTGATGTCCCGCCCAACTATGGGGCAGATATAGAGGAGAACTTAGCAAGATGATGCCTTAGCAAGATGATGTAGCTGTTGCTCTGTACTAACCTGGTATGGAAGAATGGGACTATGGTTGGAAGCAAAAATAGAGGAGCGATAAGTACTTTGGAGACCGGAGCTTAGTGTTTCTTTGCATCTCAGCCCCATTTATGAAAGAGGGCATGCCATGTTTAAAACACAGAGCAGCAAGCTATAAGACACAATGAGTATTTTGAAAGCCAGGAACCTGTCGACAAGGGTGCCTGCCACTGGACAAGCCTGATAACAAACCAACAACTCCAAAATCCACTTATCTGTCATGTCAAAGAGAAGTTTCACACACTGCAAGAATGAAGGCCTTGACTACACAGCCAATTTTGCATGTAACTAATCAAGGTTATGTAATAGGCTTCCAGGTCTTCTTACTCTGACTATACCCATTGACATTGTATTGAGGGCTGATAATAAGGAGCTGTGTCCAACTAACACCTACTCAAGAGAACACCCATTAAAATCGCCTAAGTTAGCTATCTCTGTTATGGTAATTTCAGTGGGCCCACTATGAGTAGAAATAGCACTGGATAGAATCCAAGGTCTACAAGGTGCATATGCTTAATATGATCTCTGGAAAATAGACGTCACTGAGTATCCCAACACAACAACGGGATACTAGATGTTGATCTCTGGCCACACTGTCTGGGGCTGATGGTAACTGGGAATTCAACAGTTCTGGAGGGTCAGAGTTTCCCCATTACAGACCTCATACTGAACACACTTATAGCACAGTCTAATGTAAGATAGCACAGTTATCAGGGAAACAAAGCAAAGCCCACCTCTAAATCAAAGCCTGCCAGCTGCTTTGGAACAAACCATTTCTAGAACAAACACTAATGGGAGTAATCTAGAGGAAGTGGTCTGACATTTACAGTCTAACCAAGGGCATCATCTAAAGACGAGTTTACTGCTAATGGAAGAACTTGGATGCAAGTACGTAAGTTGAAGGCAGCTCACATGGCTGTCCCCAGGACAAAAATCCACAACTGCATTGATGCCAATTCAAAAATAATTTCCCCAAAGCATCACTCAAAGGATCACTTCAAAAAGCAACCCTGCAAGAGCTAAAAATGAGGTCAGAACGAGTACAAAGTAATGCTATTCACCGCTGGAAACCTTTGCTATGAGCAAGCCAGGGGGGGATATCCACCAGATGCCTTCCTCTAGGAAGACACTGAAATATTTGTACTAGCACAGTTGCACCCATGAAGCTGAGGGAAACAGAGAATCTGACTGCTGGTTTACAATCTAGAACACAGGTGTGCAACTAGAGATTTGCCAAGCTGAAACACAAGGCATGTACGGTGGCCTGCTAGGGTCTTAGTAAATTAGTTGGAACTTGGTGTGTGTGTGTAAAACATCTAGCAGGCCATGATTACATGGCTGGTGAGCTTGGCTTGATGGATGACCAGTTTTGCATGCATGGTCTAGAAAGAGGGATGCAAGCCAAGGTCAATTTGCGAATGCAGGGTGACCATCTGGCTGACCAATGCTCTCTCGTGCAGAAGTAACATTCCTGGAAAAGGTAACTTATTCCCCTGCGAGCGCTGCACTTAGACAGACCATTACTGTGGGGGCAAAGCCTGCATTCCACCCAACACTGGTCCTGTGATTGTCCCTATCAGCACATCAGGAGAGGATGGTGGACTGTGGGGTTCAGACGTACTGTATGGATGCATCCTGAAATAAGCACCATTTGGACACCCCTTTAGTGTGCTGATATTTAATGCTCCACAACACAAGCCAAAATCTAGAATTTGTAGTGTCTCTGTGTGTTTTAATTCAAAACATAGCACCTTTATTTGAGGGTGGAATGGGGTCAACATATATGCTACAGGTAAAATCCAATGGTTGGACAGCATGCTCATGAATCCTAATAATCCAGGAAGGACATGTAGTTGGTATCTAGCTGGTGTGCATATTATCAAATTTGGGCTACATCAAGCACTCAAAGACCAGTAAGAAAGGAGAGAAAGAGAGAGAGAGAGACAGAAAGAAACTCCTTCCGATTGCTGAATTTGCTGGGTAAGATGCTTATCACCCACCTGTTGGACTTGACTTGTAACATGTGCACAACTGCCAGAGGAAAGAACAGTTTCTAGCAAGAAAAGGCTCCCCTTCTTCAACTGCAATGAAACTGATTGGCTGCAGAGTCCATCAGGAAAGTGTGATTCAGTGTTGCTTTCTCTATCCACACGAGCATAAACATGACAGTGAATCTGACTGCTGAGAAGTAAGTCAGGAAGCTGTCCCATTGTGTGCTTCCAACAAACCAGCCTGCCTCCCCCGCCCAACACCTTTTTTTAAAAAAAAAAAGCACAGCTTTGCCTGGCTCTTCTCCAACATCCCAGAAGAGAGAAAGAAATCACACTGAGGAGAGGCGCTAGGCGTCAGTTCCATTCATTCAAAGATCAGGTTGCCCCGTTGGCCAGACTCAAGATTCACAAACCCTCCCCTGCTCCTAGCCAGTTTTCATCTCTCTGCTCCTCTGTGGGTCCTTCTGAAGACTTTGTGGGAGTCCCAGCGTGGTCCATGAACATGTTTGGAATATCTTTGCCAAAGTAGATCTTGCTGTTGGTGGCAATTGCTTTGTACTTCATGAGCTGCAAGTATTCTGGAGTCAGTTTTAGCTGCAAGAAGAGAAAGTGCATCAAGAGCCCAGGGTTAGAGAGATCCTTTAAAATTCAAGAGCGTCAAAAGAGCCCTGCTGGATCAGGCCAATAGCCCATCTAGTCCAGCATCCTGTTCTCACAAACCAGATGCCCCAGTGGGACAAGCAGAACCTGAGCGCAAAAAACACTCTCCCCCTCCTGCAGTTTCCAACAACTGATATTCAGAAGCATACTGCCTCCGACAGTGGAGGTGAACTTGGGAGACCTAGGTTCTGCCTATGGATCAAATTATCTCCAAGGTGGCTGACGACAGATTGGAAACAATGCAAAAATGATACAAAAAAGGAACTGTGTGCGCCTCGATGGTCGGGCCGCTAAGTGAGATGCAGGGAGGGCATGACATTTTAGAGCAGCGATGAGGAAGCTATGGCCTCCAGGAAGCTGCTAGATTTCAGCCAGGATGGTCAATGGTCAGGGATGATGGGCGTTGTGGTCAAACAGTATCTGGAGGACCTCAGGTTCCCCATCTCTGTGTTAAAGCACTTCAGTCTTTACTTAGCTCAGTTGCAATCAGTGGCGTAGCGTGGGTTGTCAGCACCTGGGGCAAGGCAAGTAATTTGTGCCCCCTAACCCGTGGATTTGCGCCCCCTAACCCTAACCCCCAGATGTTGCGCCCGGTGCGGCCGGCCCCCCCTGCACCCCCCACGCTACGCCACTGGTTGCAATCTGAGTAAGAACTAGGCCCAAGAGACCACAAACCCATGTCAAATCACAATCACACAGCCTTTGCATCTACAGAAGCAGTAGCCAATATGGGGATGTCTTTGGGATGTTATTAGAGTAAGCTCCCAACATCCCTGATCACTGGCAGTGCTAGCTGGGATTGATTGCAGCTGTAGTCCAAAGCACCATGACAGCACCATGTTTGTTTCCCTGCAGGAGTATGAGCCATGGGGAACCTGTAACACAAGCTGAGGATGCCAGCTGTGTGGAAGAACAGCTAACCTTGTTGGCTTCTGCCATCTTCAAAGCAGTATAACATTCAGCATCTGCCCTCGCCTTCTCTCTAGCAAGGAATGCAGCATCTGCAGAAAGAGGAAGGGGAGATTTAGAAGTATAGGGAAGCCGTACAAGTCCCTGGAAAGCCCCTTACTTGCCCATTTCCAACTTCAAAATGTAGCACAAGTTTCATGGTTGTAATCAATGCTTTGCCAAAGTCCAAACTCCGCCCCCTGCAGCCCCAGCACAATTTTGGATTGAACCAGAGCAGAAATGGGGAAATGACTGGGATCCTAGGATATTAGAAGGGAACACGAAAGGAAGGAAGCAGAGCACAGAATTTCACTTGCGCCCATTCAGATTGGTATTGCTGGTGAGTCAGACTGTTTTAATACAGGGATGAGGAAGCTGGTGCCCTCCAGGGGGTGTTGGGCTACAACTCCCACCAGCCCCAGCCAGCATGGCCAAAGGTCAGGAGAAATGGAAGTTAAAGAGCCCAACAACACCTGGAAGGCCACAGGTTCCCCATCCAGTATTAGTACCGACTGATGAAAATTAACACTTCTCTCTGCAAAACATGGAGGCTAAGATTTGTCTGGTAGAAACAGGCAAGAAGAACTGGCACACAAGAGAGTTCAGAGAATTCCATGCAGGCAAGTGAGAGGAACAGAGAAGGAGGGATGGAGAGCTCCAATATAGAGATGTAACTGACTGCTACAGAAGAGGCAGTTATCCTCTGCCAGACCACAATAGGCTAGTATTTTTTGGGGGGTGGGCAGGCTAGCAATTTTTGTGGGCTTATTTACAAGTGGTGTTGTTGTTGTTTCAACAATTTATATACCACTTAATTGCTGTGGTCTTTAAGTGGTGCACAAGCAACTCAATACTATGAAAACAAAAAAGACACAACTGAGATACAGTGGTGCCTCGTAAGACGAAATTACCGTATTTTTTGCTCTATAAGACTCACTTTTTCCCTCCTAAAAAGTAAGGGGAAATGTGTGTGCGTCTTATGGAGCGAATGCAGGCTGCGCAGCTATCCCAGAAGCCAGAACAGCGAGAGGGATTGCTGCTTTCACTGCGCAGCGATCCCTCTTGCTGTTCTGGCTTCTGAGATTCAGAATATTTTTTTTCTTGTTTTCCTCCTCCAAAAACTAGGTGCGTCTTGTGGTCTGGTGCGTCTTATAGAGCGAAAAATACGGTAATTCGTTCCGCGAATTTTGTCGTCTTGCGATTTTTTTCGTCTTGCGAAGCACGGTGTCGGGAAAGTTTTGGAAAAGCTTCAAAAATCACCAAAGTCTTTAAAACCCCCAAAAAAGGCTACCACACCGCGTTCTATGAGTTGCTCCTCGAAGTCAAGTCGCAACTGTATTAACGGTGTTAAGAAAAAGGAAACAAACTTGCAAGACGTTTCCGTCTTGCGAAGCAAGCCCATAGCGAAAATCGTCTTGCGAAGCAGCTCAAAAAACAAAAAACCATTTCGTCTAGCGAGTTTTTTTGTCTTGCGAGGCATTCGTCTTGCGAGGTACCACTGTACTTTAGATCAGCCTCCTCTAACTTGGTGCATTCAAGATCATTCAGCCCCACTCAGTGCAGTTAAATGAAAACTACACAAGCTATGAGTAACCACCCCTGTTTCCCAGAGTGTTGAGTGGCATTTTACCAGCTCTGCCCTTTCCAATCTATGGCGCCCTCCATTTCCCTCCCGCTCCCTCCTTTGTGATTTTCAGGAAGAAACAAACCAAAGAAGTTTCAACCTGCTCCATGAAATTCTAGAGACCCAGCCACAAACTCCGGCAGCTGATCAACGAGGTGTAAAACCTTGTTCGGAAAACTCTTAAGCGCAGAAAGCCCACGATTTTAAAAGCAACTCTTGCAAAACTGCTTTTTAAAAAACAAAAAAGATAAAAAGTGTGTGTGTGTGGGGGGGAAGCCTGTCACTTTTCCCCTGGAGTCTGTGATCGTGTTGTTTCAAAACACATCAATCCATTAGCTGGTCATTTCTGCTCACATACCAAGAGGGCAGCTGCAACCAACTCCAACAGCTGAGAGTGCCTGAGATTCAAAGAGCACACAGCAATCAACTTGTCAGAGCAGCTGGAACGGCTTGGGACAAAGCCAAACATTCTCTGCCGAGGGTTCGGCTGGGCCTCCCGACTCCTAGGGGGCTGCATCGAGGGCCTGGCACCTGGCAACGTGCCTTGATGAGAAAGAAAACCACCAGCGCTCTGCTGGGGACTGCCTAATGAGAGACTGCTGATCTGTAAACCACTAATTGGCTCCTCAGCGAGATGCTGCAAAGCTTGAGAGGGCCTTTAATGAACCTAACAGGATTGAGGGACATGCTGCTCACAGGCAGCCGGCACAGCCTTTCCCAGGTCCAGGAATCTGCCCGACAATAGGAATGACAGAGAGGAGGGGAAATCCTTCCACATCACATGCCTGCAGTTGTAATCAACTGGCAGCAGCTCTTTGGCTGAGGGCATGGGCTGTAGCTCAGTGGCAAATGGTCCCAGGTTGAATCCCTGGCTTTGGGCTGGGAAAGTCCAGTCTGAAACTCTGGGGAGCGCCGTTTGTGAAAATACAAGGCCAGAACAGACTGTTGGTCTGACTCAGCACAGGGCAGCTTCATGCGCTCCAAGAACCGAACTGTGGCATGCATAGCACATGCTCTGCTACAGCGCATCAGTTCTATGTGCAGAGGACAAAGGTATCCAGGGCTGACATGTTGAACTGTGGAAGGAGAGTTGCAAATTCTACAGAAACACAAACAAACACAAATACCAGGGGAGCTGAAACGTTTGGCAGATTTCTTCTGGCTTACAGAATCCTGGCTGAGGAAACTAAACAACCTCATGTGCAAAGAAACACATGGCTGGAAACAGGGAAGTGTGGAGGTATGCAATCAGTGGAGGCAGAACGGGGATTAAAAGCAATTCACTCGATGGTGCCGCTCCAAAGATGTTTCTCAGCAACAAGGACTATTTCAGGTGTGGGGAACTTTGGGCCCTCCAGATGTTGCTGAGCTGCAACTCTCATCCTCCCTGGCCTTTGGCCATGCTGGGGCTGATGGGAGCTGCTGTTCAGAAACATCGGGGGGGGGGGAATGTTCCCCACATGTGTGGACTACTTGAATCAGCTGCAACCTGGCGACATAAAACACTGAACGACTTGGGACCCAGGTACATAATGGACTGCCATCTTCAGAACTGGACTATTCAGCTCTATAGACCTGCCAGAGATGCCCCACTTGTTGTTCCAGCTTCTGCTCAACAGCTGGCAACATGAGAGAGGGCACTTTCAGTTGTGGCTACTCGATTATGGAGTTCCCTCCCAAAGGGCATTTGGCTGTCCTCTATAAATAGGATCAAGGTAAGATGCTTTCTATAGGGACACGGGTGGCGCTGTGGGTAAAACCTCAGCGCCTAGGGCTTGCCGATCGCATGGTCGGCGGTTCGAATCCCCGCGGCGGGGTGAGCTCCCGTCTCTTGGTCCCAGCTCCTGCCCACCTAGCAGTTCGAAAGCACCCTTAAGTGCAAGTAGATAAATAGGTACCGCTTTATAGCGGGAAGGTAAACTGTGTTTCCGTGTGCTGCGCTGGTGCTGGCTCGCCAGAGCAGCTTCGTCACGCTGGCCACATGACC